TGTCTCTGGGTGAAACAGCATTTCTGATGGTTTCCATTGCCTCAAGGGCTTACCTTCAGCTCAGACCTCTTTCCTGAGTTCTAGGCCCATGTGACTGACCTTTGAGTTCATATGGGCTTCACTGGTTTCAGTTCCCACTCTGCTTTTCCTCTTATTATACGTGACTTATTAAATGTGAACTCCATCCACCTGGCAGCTCATGCCAGTAACTGAGCACCTCACGGATCCCTCCCTCTCCTTCAGCCCTCACATCTCATTAGTTCTCAGAGCCCTAAATTCTGCTTCCTTCACATCTCTCAGACACACCTACTTTCTCTCAGTTACCTGAACTCAGGCACGCTGCATTGCTCTGTGGATGAGAACAACTTTCTAGCTGGTCTTCCTCCCCTGATCCATTCTTCACAGCCAGAAAGAGCATTCTAAAAGGCAAAGTCAATCACATAACTCCTTTGCTTCAAATGTCCTAGACTGAAATAAGAGTCCTTTGTGACCTACTTCCCGTCCATCTCTGCAAGCTCATCTTTGGCTTTTTCTTCTTTCATCCTCTGCGCCGGAACTACAGAGTCCTCAACTGTTTACTCTGCATTTCTCCATGGTTTTGTACCTGCTACTACTCTCTACCCTTCCTCACATCCTTCTGCTTGATTTCTGCTTACCTTTTAAAATTCATCTTCCAGGAAGTTTCTTCAAGTTACTTTCAGATTAATCACCCCTTCCGTGTATTACAGCAGACACGGTCTAGTACTTACATGGTATTGTAACTTCACTCTCTTTCCCCACTGGACTGAGAACTTGTTGAAGGCTGAAACTTTTTTTAACCACCCAGTTCCTGGAGATGTTGAACAAACTCTGGCCTCAAAAAAATACTTCTATCGAATGACTAAATGAAATACTCTAGAGTGAGGGTATATGTTCCCATGCTACTTCTGGCTGGAAACCAGCTAAATTAAGGCTTCACAGAAGTAGATATTACTGAAGTCAAAAAAATTGTGCAAGGAAGGCAGAGTTAGATTTTTAAGATACTGGTCAGTTAGGCTTGATTGTTGGAACGTGTCTCTCCTAAAGACAAAGGGGAGAGTCTTGGCAGTTGCCAACTTCCCAGCAGCTGCTAGGGACAAAAGCAGTTACGTGGGAGAGAGCCTGACTCTGTGCACTGTGGACAGATGTTAACAAAGCAGTCCAGACACATGCTTAGGGCCTGACAGTCCCCACGGAAGCAAGTTTAAAAGTCTCCATTGGGCCTGTGGCCAATAAACAAAAAAAGGTCTTTCTTCCATTGTTTCAGTTCTGTAGATTCTTAATTTGAAAAATACATAGTAAGCACCTATGCTGCTGCTGCTGCTAAGTCGCTTCAGTCGTGTCCGACTCTGTGCGACCCCAGAGACAGCAGCCCACCAGGCTCCACCGTCCCTGGGATTCTCCAGGCAAGAACACTGAACCATTTCCCTCTCCTTATCAAATTTACACTTCAATTAGATATATTTATATAAGTTTTAAAATTAATTTTTAATGGAAGGATAATTGCTTTATAATATTGGTTTGATTTCTGCCATACATCAAATGAATTAGCCATAGATGTACATATGTTCCCTCTCTCTTGAACCTCCTTCCCTAGATATATTTTTAAAACAAACTTTGAAAAAAGAACTTCATGCCTCACTTGAAAATACAGCCACATTGTGGACTACACGAATAATTTCTGTATCATTGCCTGCACATTTGTCAGTGCTCTTCTGAAAAGCTGCCTTTCTGGGTTCTATCTGCTTTATTTTCTACCCAAACCTCTCCAACCCACACTCTGTCTCTCCACCAGAAATGTCATCTATGTTCTTTAACGATCAACCTGTCCTAATTGGCAGAAAACCCTGAAAGCAGCTTGTACTCAAAGAAGGCTTGGCTTTGGCTTCACAGCCCGGTGGAAACCTGACCAACTCTCAACTTGGGAACCTGTGAGGGTCAAGATTCTTCCTGATTTTGTAATCAAAAGGAGAATGGAATAGAGGTGCTACTTTAAAATGCTGTGTGGGCTTTGTAAATAAATAGATCTACTGCTCTAGCAGAGATGGTCTGAGGTTCAAAGCTGGCCCTGGTGGGTAGGAGTTATGATATCGCCAAACTAGCCATTCGATGACTTGCTGGGCAACTCTCAGCCACACTTCCAACTTTATCTCTAAGAACACTGTGCTTATCGGAAAATGCAGTTTGGTTGCTTATGTTTTCCTTCCTAAAGTAGAACTTAGCAACATTTTAAGGTTTCCAAAGTTGAGTGTGAATAGGTATGCTTTGATTAGAAACTCTAAATCAGAGTTTAGGAAACTCTAATGCACTAAAAAGGAAATCAGATCGAGTATGTTTTATGTCAGGAAGCCCAGGTGGCACAGTGGTAAAGAACCTGCTGCCAATGCAGGAGACACAAGAGATGTGGGTTCGATCCCTGAATTGGGAAGAGCCCCTGGAGTAGGAAATGGCAGCCCACTCCAGTCTTCTTGCCTGGAAAATTATATGGACAGTGGAGCCTGGCTGGTCCGTGGAGTCGCAAAGAGTCGGACACGGCTGAGCACTATACACACATGTTTAATGTGCCACATCCTCTTTATCCACTCATCTGTTGATGGGCGCTAAGGTTGCTTCCATGTCTTGGCTACTGTAAACAGTGCTGCTATGAACTCTGAACTTTTCAAATTAGTCTCTTCTTCAGAACATTATTCAGCCATAGAAACAAATAATGCCATTTGCAACAACATGGATGGACCTAGAGATTATCACATTAAGTGAAGTCAGAAAAAGCAAAATATCATATGATAGCACTTATATATGGGCTCTTAAGAAATGATATAAATGACCTTATTTACAAATCAGAAATAAACTCACAGACATAGAAAACAAACTTCCAGTTACCAGAGGGGATAGTGGGGGTGGAGGGGGAGATAAATTCGGAGTTTGGGATTAGCAGATACAAACTACTATATATAAAATAGATGAACAACAAAGACCTACTGTATGGCACAGGGAACTATATACAGTGTCTTGTAATAACCTATAATGGAAAAGAACCTTAAAAAGAAATATACATATATAGTGAAAGTGTTACTTGCTCAGTCATGTCCGACTCTTTGTGACCCCTTGAACGGTAGCCTGCCAGGCTTCTTTGCTCATGGGATTCTCCAGGCAAGAATACTGGAGTGGGTTGTCATTTCCTTCTCCAGGGGATCTTCCCAACCCAGGGATTGTACCCAGGTCTCCTGCATTGCAAGCAGATTCTTTACTGTCTAAGGAGGGAGATAAATTAGGAGTTTGGGATTAGCAGATAAACACTATATATAAAATAGGTAAACAACAAGGACCTACTATATAGCACAAAGAACTATATTCAATGTCTTTTATATATATATATATGTGTGTGTGTGTGTGTGTGTGTGTGTGTTACACCTGAAGCTAACACATTATAAATTGATTTTAAAAATTGTTTTAAACATTGATTATGTTTTATAAGCTGCCATGTCTTTTGCACCCTTCTTTCTGTCAGCTGCAGCCCCGCTTTTTCCATCGCTGACACTCAAGAGCTTGAAGATAGCTGTTTCTCCCATTCCACTGTCCACCCATCAGTCACACAATAGTCAAGATGTATAGATTTTACTTCCACTTTACCTTTCTTCTCACCTCTTTCTCTGACTTTGTCCACCACCCTCTGAGCTCTGGCCCACTGGATGGATTAATCCTGCTTTTAGATTAGTAAAACAAGATTCTGATGTTTTCACCACCAAACCACCCAACACCCACGGCTCATTTTCCTGAAACAGGTCTTGAGAAATGTCATTCCCCTGATCAAAAGTGCTCAAGGGAGTCCCACTCTTTCCTAAATCAGTTCTACCTTCCCAGATTTTCCACCTACCTTTCCTGCTCTATATTTTGTTATTTCCACTGTGGATAATGTTTACCCTTCTTTCCACACACACTCCTGCATCTGTGCTTTCTTGCCTGGAAAATTATATGGACAGTGGAGCCTGGCTGGTCCGTGGAGTCGCAAAGAGTCGGACACAACTGAGCACTATCCACACACATGTTTATGACTTCACTTAATGTGATAATCTCTAGGTCCATGCTCATGGGATTTTCCAGGCAAGAATACTGGAGTGGGTTGCCATTTCCTTCTCCAGGGGATCTTCCTGACCCAGGGATTGCACCCGGGTCTCCTGCATTGCAGGCAGATTCTTTACTGTCTGAGGAGGGAGATAAATTAGAAGTTTGGGATTAGCAGATAAATACTATATATAAAATAGGTAAACAACACAGACCTACTGTATAGCACAAAGAACTATATCTGTGCTGTTGCCCATACTGTTTCACCCAAGCTGCCTGATTTGAGGGCTGGTTCCAGCATTTACTAGCTTTGTGCTTCTGTTTCCTCAGTTATAATACAGGGATCATAATAGCACCTACTTCATAGGGTTTTGTCCTGATTACATGAAGGAATCCACACAAAGCTCTTAGAAGAGCCCCAGCCACAAAGTAAGTATCCAGTGACCGTTAGTGATCATTACTATTATCGTCATCCCTTTCAAGAACCATTTCAAATCCACCTCTTTAGCAAAGGCTTTTTTAATTGCCCAACTCAATGTTTTTTTCCTCTTTTTGTACTTCTCTGAATAGCATTTGACACAGAATGCCCTGACTTAGAATAGTGTGTGCATTTATTGTGGCCCGGCCTGGACTATACAGTTCCCAAGGCTGAGGAAGTTTTGTTCATCATCGTGTGCATCGAAGGACCTTGCATAGCTCCTGGCACATCAAAAGGACTTAATAAATACTGGCTAAATTGAAATAAATTGACTTTCCTATTTTGAATACTCCATTCCACAAGCTGAGGAAAAATATCCCATAAAGATAAGCAAATGAAATGAACACCTTGATAACAAGGATGTTACTGGTGAAAGACAGAGATTGATGTCATTGGAAAGCTTGCCCTGATAACATCCTTTCATCCTTGTTCTTGGTCGCAGGTCTGCTTAGTGGCCTATCTCGGTTTGTTTATGCTTTGCGTCTCCTATCAAGTTGATGAACGGACATGTATCCAGTTTGCCATGAAAGTAAGTTGTCATTTTCTTTCTCTTTTATCGTCACATAGAAAGAAACATGAGTACAAAAGCAAGGAGGACTTTTTAAGGGGTTGCGTATCTGATTATTCTAGAAATTGGATTTTTAGGCAGGCCAAAAAATGTTTTTGGAGGACATTCATCCAGTCCCCAGAGGTAATGCAGATTTTTCTCTTTTTTTGGTAAGTCTTAATTTCCATGAACTGGATTTGCACGGAGCACATGAAGTCTGTCCTCCAATGCCCTTAAAAGGAATATCGAAAATTCGTCAGCTCAACAAAACACTTGGCTAAGGAAAAGATGTCTTAGATCAGTGCCCACTTTCCCATTTGGGTTTTTTTTTTTTTTTAAGAATGCTTTAATAACGAAGCAGTCTAAGCGCATTTCCCCTTGTAGGTGGGATCACTGAGACAGAGAAAAGTATATCGGGTGCACCCAAATGATCTGTGCCAAGAGTCCGAGGGCAAAGGTGGGAGATTGGGATATGCTTGGTGTAGCAAATGTGTGTGTATTTCCTGTGTGTGTCTTTTTCCTGTTAGAGACGGTGCATTTGGTTGGAGCCAGTTCAAGTACACAGCATTTTCACTGCACAGTAGAATCTGCTCCAAAGGGAAACACAGACACACCCTTTCAGAGTTTAGGGAGATAAACACCCCACTCACACATCAGAGTTAGTAGAAATTCAATTCCTACATTCTCTTTCAACTCCTGCAGCAGAGAACAAAAAGCTTTCTGTAATGGTGGTGGTGGTTGGTTGTTTTTTTTTGGGTGGGGGGGTCCACTCACATTGTTTACTTTTCTTCTACAAGAAAACACATAAAAATTGGATACGCTTTTGTTCACTAAAATAAGAAAACATAAAGCATAAGAGTAAGTTAACTATATCATTTGGAAATTACAAAAATGAAGAAAATAAGATGTCAGTATATTCTAGTATATTGACATAAAAAAAATGTGCTGATACATACATATATGTATACATATTTAAGTCACACTGTAAAAGAGTAACTAGTGAAGAAATATTCAAATTATTTTGACTAGCAAAAAAACTGGCTACACAAAATATATGGTATGATTGTACAAAAATAAAAAAATAGCTCTTATATGCAGGGAAAAAAATAGTTTCTCTGAGTGGTGGGATTATAGATACATTTTGGTAGGTTTTTTTCTTTAATTTTGAGGTGTTCTCCAATAATTAGATGTAACTTTTCTAATTTAAAAATTGAATGGATGCTATTTTAAAAATTGATAGAATTTTGGTGGATATGCCTCACATGGAAATTTTACTTTTTCTGTCTGAGGGTGTTCCTTAAAGGCCAGACTAAGCAGACATCATCCCTGTTTACTTTTTGAGTAGAAGTCTGAATAAACTGCAAGGCTTAGTAATGGTTTTTTTTTCAAAGCCAGAAAGCCTAGTAAGAAATGATATGTTAAACCATGTGAATGTCACTCATCAGGTTAAAAGGGCTCTAAACTAGGTTCATCAATTTCTGTGAAACACCATCATCTCCCTCTCCCCCATGGTCCCAGGAGACAGTAGAGGCAACAGCATCATTTTCACAGAGGCACCTAAAGCCTAAATGTCTTCACTTAAGGAGTAAGGACAAATAAATAAAAAAGGCATTGCTAGTGTCTGCCAGGTTGAGAAGTCCCCACTAGGAAGATCTCATTAGCTTTTTTTTTCCACCTGTGACAGACATTGACAAATACAGAGACACTTTCTCTTCTCCTGAATGTGACCTTTAATGATGCTAGTTTTCAGCTAAGATGCCCGCTATATCATCTTCAGGTCGAAAGTGAGCTTCAGTCAATCTCCCGGTTTTCCAAAGTCAAGACAGGCTACAGCCACACTACCCTGTGCTTCTCACATTGTTTAGAGGAGAGGGGATGAAACACACCTTCCTGCCGTGTTTCTCACTAGCAAAACCATGTTAGTGATTGATATCCTGGCCACACTTTGGAGAGAATTTATTTCCTTGTGTTGAACGCCCAGATAGGCAGCACAAGCTATCCTCCGAGGGTGATGACAGTGCCTCTGTGCAGCGCGCGGGCACACACACACACACACACACACACACACACACACACACACACACACACACACACACACACACACACACACACACACACACACACACACACACACACACACACACACACACACACACACCTCTCCCGTTTTCCTTACAGACAATAGCCACGGCAGCTTGTCCTTTCATCTCAAGCTAGCACAATCTTTTCTGTCGGCCCTTTGGCAGACCCTGTGAGCATCCTTCCATTCTTCTCCCTGGACTTTGCCCCTGGGCTGGCGGGGGGGCGGGGGGGCATCCGGCCATGGATTGGGCCTCCTGCCTATTCTCGCGGCTCTATTTTCTCGGGGCTCACCTCGATGGTTTTCAGAATCGTGTCCGGTTCATGTGCTTGCGGAAACACTCTGGAGGCACATTCCCCCACGAGGGTATTGGAGGCGCAATGGCCCGGTACCCACCGCCCCCCGGGAGGCCCCTGGGCTGCCGCCGTCTCCCCCTGCCCATCGAGGAGCAGAGGGGCCTTACCCTGCCTGCCACCCGGAAGATACTTAAATTGAAGCCGAACCTTCCTCCTCCCGAAGTAACTGAACCCTGAAGCGGCGGCCGGGTACCAATTAGAGGCGGCGAGCGCGGGGCCGCGGTTACATAAGTGCAGGGGGCGCCCGCCTCCGCCCGCTGTCCTGCGCCGGCCGCCGGCGTGTCACCCGCAAGACAGATGCGGCCGGAGCCGCGCTGCTACCAAGATATATTTGCTGGCATTCCCAAGGTCATCGTAAACACTTTCATTGATAGTTTATTTGTGCCTTGTAGGTAAAACCAGCCACTTGATTTTAAATTACAGATTCTGACCCAGAAGCTTGTTGCTGTCGGCTGAGTTGAAAGCCGCGAAGGAAAAATGCTATAGCGCTGCAGAAGTGGCCCATAGTCTTTGGCCGATCAAGTCTATATTTATGTCTTGAAATGGAGAAGAAACTTGATGCTGTGGCTCACTCTTGTTTACTTGGCCCGATGCTTTTCTGCAGTGGGAGAAGCAGAATCACCATGTGTGAGCTAGTGCACCAATGAAAATGTATTCTTATTTAAAGGAGCAGAGGGGTATGGCTTTCATTGGTGCTCTTGAGGCTTTTAGCATATTTAAAATACTCGGCTCAGTTCTCGGTTAAAACTGAGTAATCTCTCCGTATTTGTGTAAATATTTACATCTTTTATACAAGCCAAGTATGTGTTGTTACTCTCACATGACATAGAAGACAAAGTCAGTAGGATTGATATCCTAAAAGTCCTGAGAACAGGCAGCTCTTTCCATGTCTACTAATGTGTTTATTTCACACATACTTAAATAGTGCTACTGCGTACCAGTCACTGTTCTAAGCCCTGTACATATATCAACTCTTTGGATCCTTAGAGTAATGCTGTGAAGCCAGTGTTAGATGAAGAAGCAGAGGGACACATGGGATTGATTAATTTGCCCAAGGTTCATAGTTAAGCGGGGAGAACCAGGATTCTAACCCAGGCTGTCTGGCTCCCCAGCACATGCCTGTAATCCTCATCCAGCCCTGCTGTGCACTTGCTAAATGTCTTGGCAAAACTTTTGATCTTTAGGTCAAAAAGTTCTCTTTTAAAAAGAGACAAAACTCTCATTTCAGCAAATGGATTTTCATAATGGTTGTGAGAACATATTTTTTTTGGGCAACAATTTGACTAACTTACAGATCAACAATAAGGGATTATTGTCGATCAACAATAAGGGATTATTGTCATTGTTTCAAGATAATGCATCAGTTGATGCTCTAAAAAATTCTCTAAGGATATATGTGTGTGTGTGGGGGGGGTGTTTTGACAAGACTTCCTTAGTGCCATCCATTGATGGCAATAAAATGTGTAAAGAATACTCTAGTTGGGGCCTTTCTGAAGAAGCAGATGACTCTCAGGTAGGAAATTATTCCTTTAATTTAAGCCTTCTCTGCTGGTAGAGTCTTTGCTGTATTCATGTTCTCAGAGCAATTTGTTCCCAGTCCCCTGCGTCTGCCCTGGAGACGCAGCTGCCAGTGGCAGGCATGCACCACAAGGCCAGCACAAGTTAGTCTGGTCCTTGGCATCAAGGGTTTCAAGTCAGTTGTCAAGCTTGAATATTTCAAAACAACCCGCAATGTTTCAGATATTCTGCCTCAATGACCCCACAAAATAAATCCATACTTTTTAACCTATTTTTGTAGAAAATATGCCCACTGAAAATTTGGGGGACAGGCAGAACCAAGGCCATGCATTCAATATTACAAATCAAATAGTTCCTCTTAATTTTTATTAAAATAGTGCCACTGTGTGTGTTTGGGGTTCCCTTCCTCCAAGAGAGATTAAACATGTTGTGCATAGGTTATCCTTGTTATGTCCCTGAGATGAGGTTTCTATAAACTGTGTCACATGTGAAGAAACGTGGGTTATATGTGACAATCCTTTATATGATTTGAAAATGAAAAAGGGAGTGTGTGTTTAAGATGTTTTTGTTGAGAAGATCCAAAGAACCCCTGCATTCTTTGCTCCTGCAGCCATGTGAAGTCCACGTGGCTTTTACCGGGGTCTTTTCTCTTCTTGTGTCTGCAGTGAAGCATCCAAGTAAACCAGATCCATGCACAGAGCCCCAACACACACACACACACACACACACCCAACACTACATACCCCACTCAAGAAGGAAAAAATAAATTTTGAAGTATTCTATATTTAAGACTTGAAATTGTCTCTGTGTGGAAAATCACTTATCTGTAGGACTTATGTGCATGTGTTCTATAATCTTATATGTATGTTTTTATTTTTTATTTTTTTATTTTTTTAATTTGAGTTGCATTTACTTGGAGGTGGGGGGAGGGCATAGTCTTTTCAGAGCAATTTTTTAATTGGAGGATAATTGCTTTACAATGTTGTGTTGGTTTCTGCCATACAATGGAAATCAGTCACTTTATATATGTATACATACATATATATACTCTTGCCTGGAGAATTCCATGGACAGAGGAGCCTGGCGGGCTACACAGTCCATGGGGTCACAAAGAGCGACTAACACTTTCAAAAATACATATATATATGTATACGTGTATATAAATCCCTCCTCCCTCTTGAGATTCCCTCCCCCTCCTTCAGATCAACTTTAATATGAACCTGTACTGGATGTACCTGATCTTCCTTTGAGGAGTTCACATTCACCAGAACTGCTCTATGAGCACCTTTTGACTATAGGTGTGTAACTCTTACACTAAGAATTTAGTTCAGTACACCAGTGCCAATAGCTGGGGACTCTGTTCCTTATCTAGATCCTCAGTAGGCTGGACCATTAAGAGGAAGGATTCCAGTAGGGAAGTCCAATCACAAGAAGATTTCTTGTTCTATAAAATGATTTATATAGCAATCACATCAACAATCATTCACAATTTCATGATCAAAATATTTCAGGTTTAGGATAAATGTCTGAGTTGTTCAGGGATTCCACAGTTCTTTAATAGCAGAGTTAGAACTTTCACCAGATTTTTCAATTCCAAGGCTAACACGTAGGCTAATGGTGTTTAGAACCTTGGTGACCAAGGGACCATTTACAGCTTATTTTTATGCTCAGAAATGACATGGTTATAGGTGGTCTTGAGATGAGAGTTACAGATGATGAAGCTAACATTGAGTAACCTACTTTCTGGAGCTTTATTTTTTTTTCTCTCAGCAATGTCTGATTGGGGATCTTGGCATTCCTGGACATAGTTTGGCAACCACTCCATTAAGCAGGCTACCCAGGTGACACTAGTGGTAAAGAACCCGCTTGCCAATGCAGGAGATGTTAGAGACCTGGATTCAATCCCTGGGTCGGGCAGATCTCCTGGAGAAGGAAATGGCAAGCCACTCCAGTATTCTAGCCTGGAGAATCCCACGGACAGAGGAGTCTGGCGGGCTACAGTCCATGGGGTCGCAAAGAGTCTGACACGACTGAAGTAACTTAGCACATACACAAGCTACTGAACATAGTTTCTTGTTTTTTTTATTAACACATGTTGCTAGTTGACCAATCATTGCCAGTTTTGGCCAACACAGTGTTTACATCGCAGAAACTTGTTCTCCACTTCTAATGTTGTTGTAGTCTTTATGTCAGCAATCAGTAAGCTCAAAGCAAGCACAGTCTGTCCTTCAGGGATGGCTCTTGTGTTTGGGATTCATCTAAGCTGCCTGCTACACCCACACACAAACATCCCCAGATCAAGCTCAAATTGTTGGCTCGACTCCTGAAAGCACCCTCCATCTGTACGACAAGTGAAAAGACCGTCAGACTTCCAGGAAGGCTCACTAACAGTGCATAAGGGCCATTGTCACGTCTTGGGCACCACGTTTCTAGGGACAGAGGGGGAGCTTTCTAGGAGAGAAGAAGCCTTCTGTATTAGCTTTAGTCGTCCAGCACCCTCTAACTGGAAAGCCTTTCTTCTGCTTTCTTGCAGCTCTCGTACTTTGTCCTGAGTGCCCTTGGCCTGACGGTCTGCGTGTTGGCCGTGGCGTTCGCCGCTCACCACTATGCCCAGCTCGCACAGTTTACCTGCGGAACCGCGTTCGACTCCTGCCAGTGCAGACTGCCCTCCTCCGAGCCCCTCAGCAGGACCTTCGTGTACCGGGATGTGACTGACTGTACCAGCATCACTGGCACTTTCAAACTGTTCCTCCTCATCCAGATGATTCTGAACTTGGTCTGTGGCTTGGTGTGCTTGTTGGCCTGCTTTGTGATGTGGAAACACAGGTACCAGGTCTTTTATGTGGGTGTCAGGATGTGCTCCGGGACAGCTTCCGAAGGTCAGCAGCAAAAGGTCTAACATTCTTGCTCAAAGGTGGAAGAGAAAACAGCAGCCTGACTGAGATTTTTTTTTTTAAGGAAGAGAAAGAAAAGGAAGGAAGAAAAACTTTTGACAGTTATCAGTATTCACCATTCTAAATGAATATTTTTCTATTTTTCAGGAAATGAAAGAGCATTTTTTCAGGTTTCCATAGTATTTTTTTAAACAAATTCTTAAGATTTAAATTGACTTTGAGATGTTTAAAAAAAAACAACCACAGAACAGAGAGAGAAAGGTATAGATCTACCTTTAGAGTCTGGAGTCTATTCTTACTACTCTTGTATCTATTACTTATATAATCTTCTTTCCTGTTAGTCCAGCTTGATTAGGACAGTTTCAGGCCCACTTGCTAAATTTTCTAGAATCTTCCTCCAGCCCTTCACCCTTCCTGCCATGATTGTCACTACACTTCAGAGGAAGGCAGGAGGCAGGACCTAGGGGAGAACTGAACAGCCAGGCTGACTCTCTCTGTTCTATTTTCCCTGGTAGAGATGTCTCCAAGGCATGAAAACAGCCTGAAAGAGCAGAGTAGAAAAGGAAGAGACTTTGTAAAAAGGCTAAATAATTACAAACACCTGGGCTGGGGCGGCCTTTCTCCTCCGCTCCCTCAGTTTGGGTCTGTAAGCAGATCACTTAGTGAATGCTTTGGATGATTGTCTGCTTCTCAATAATTGAAAGTTGGTGGTAGCTATATTCTTAATGGGGCTTCCCTGATGTAGAAGGCTTAAAAATAATTACATTATGCTTCTCTTCTGTCATCTAAAACAAATCATTAAAACTAATTTCTAGCTAATTGTTAATTATAACAATGCTCAGAAGTCTATTTAATGAGCTCTAGCTGTACTTACGTAGCACCATCGGTATTAGGAGAAATTACTCATGAGAGAGGAGGCTCAATGATTCTTCCTTCTGAAAGCCAAGCTTTGCAAGGGAGAAAAAAAATTTTTTTTATTAATAGCTCAGGTTAAAAATACTCATTTAAATAAAAACAAGAGCATTTGTAATGGGGAATGTTTATACAAATAGCACATTTGTGATGTTTTATAAAGTTTCTCTCTTGGCAGCTAAGTACTTTTGAGGAAGATTAGGTAATGCTGATGTGTTCCATTCACGAAACTCTATTTGATATGTAATCCTATTGTTGATTTGTATGCACAAACAACTAGAGCCTTAAACTAATATTTTGAGGTCCTTGTTTGAACACTGGGCCATTGACTTGGAGGGTAGTTTTTGGTTTTGTTTTGTTTTGAAGTGACTTACTTAAGAGAACAAGGACACTCTGGTTGGAGACTTTCCTCCCTAATTATTGTTCTCATTGAATTTGGAACAATATCAATGTTTTAAGGAAGGAGCGCAGATGCAAATTCATGTAGCATAAGTGTTCCCAAGAACTTTCTCTATTAGGCTGCTTAGTTGAAAGCAGAAACTCAATATAATAATTGAGCTTAATTTGCTTCTTTCTCCACATTGCCTATAGATATATTTTACTAATAATTAAATCTTACCCTTAAAAAATAATTTCCGTTGTTTGCCTTAAAAGGCATTTGAATAATTCCACTGATTGTGACAGAAGTGTCAATCATTACATACTATAAGTATAAAAAAAACCCGGGAAATATTAAGTTAGTTGGAGGATTATATATACAGATTATGCCCTCCAGATAAAACACTTGATTAACAGATGTTAAAACCTTTTTATGTATTGACTTGTTTTAAAAATGACCTTCCTACATACTAGCTCAGGCCAAGACTGCTCATTTGGGGGCTTAGTGGATGACTTGAGAGCAGAGGTTTCATCATGCACAAAAATTACATCACTGTAACATCAAGCCTCTTGGTGACAACCTGAAAAATACTTTGTGCCCTGTTTTTAAAAAATTCCAATAACTGAGTCCATTTTTTATTTTGATAGTTTCCTACAAAAGAAAATGACTGATACTCTGTGGGCTCTTTTTTAAAGAGTAAGAAACCAGTACTTTAATGCTAATTACTGTGAATAAGGCACCCTTGGAAGCACACTCTGAATACCTTAAAAAAGTTTTTTATGGCAAACACTACAAATTTTTCTATCAGAAAATTAAATCCTACACAACACTAAGGTGCTCCATGCTTTACAAGCAACTCACAGGGTATTTCAAATGGTAGAATAACTCTAGGTTATGTGCTTCCTTTTTTAAAAATAATGCAGCCAGTAAGAACTGACATAATAATAAACTTGATAATAATCAGGAGACATATATATATATATATATATATGATGTAGAGCTTCTCAGGTGGCTCAGTGGTAAAGAATCTGCATGCCAATCCAGGAGACACAGAAGACGTAGGTTCAATCCCTGGGTTGGGAAGATTCTTTGGAGAAGGAAATGGTAACCCACTCCAGTATTCTTGCCTGGAGAATTCCATGGATAGAGGAGCCTGGCAGGCTATAGTCCATGGGGTCACAAAGAGTCAGACATGACTGAGTGACTGATACACACACATATATGTTGTATATATAATGAGGATTTTGCTATTGTGTGACTGAATCATTCTGAAATCCCCAAAGAAAGAAAAAAAATTGTTAAGTGAAAGAATAAAAAATAAAATGAAAAAAATTAAAAAGGAAAGAAAGGGAAGATTTCTATGCTGCAAACTCACTGTGTATTGATACATGTGAGAATTGTGTTGCATGAATAACAAACTGCTTTGGGCTGAACTTGAAGTATTTTGAGGTTGTGTTTTGCAAATATTGAAGTTACAGTAATGGCAACAGAAAGGAACAGATACAGAGCTTTACACTTAGCAAAATGTTACATTTAAAATCTGACAAGGAGCCAAGATGGTGACTGTCTCTTCTAAACCATGAAACACTAAGATTTGCGCAATCCTCCTCCTCTCCCACCTCCTTCAGGAGAATTAAATGAATCAAGACTTTGAAAAGAGGGGGAACAGCCAGGACTTGGCAGCACTTGAAATAGGAGGAATACAGCAGCCTAAATGTGCAGACTTTGTAACCAAGCCCACCAGAGATCAGTCTGTGCTTTCACGTGACCACCATCTGTGCCTCCCTCGCTCCATCCAAATTTGTGTAGGCAGCTCATTGGAGCCATTCCTAAAAATATAGCTACACCAGGCCCTGGAAACTGTAGTCAAGTAACAGGCCTAAGTTTTTTCCCCTCCTCGAGTTAAACCTCCATTAGATCTCTTTTGAAGGACCTTTCAACTGCAGGCATCAGTGTGTTCTGACAGCGAGACACGTTATGTGTGTGTTTTCTATTTGTATCCAGGACATCAGGATCTGTTCATCTTCTTGTACTTCCTCTCTTGCACGCAGTATATCTGGACTATGTTTATAGATCTGTTTAGTAAAGGGTGGGATAGAGGATATCCAAGGGAGTTTCTGAGGGGCAGAGATGAATCAGTTAATGATAATCAGAAATGAACCTAAAAGTTGGCTTGAAAAAATAATCACGTCCTATCATGACACATACCTTTATGTTTTCTAGCTCCTGTCACTGAACTGTTGCTGTGTGGCCGTACATTTCTATAAATCCTGCTGACTCAGTTCTCACTGTACTCAAAAGAACTCAATCGTGTGTTTAGATGTACGTGTATTCAGGGTAGTGTTAAAAAGTGCGGATGGCCACATATACTGACTCAAAGTGGAAACATTCATTTGGGGAAAGCCTCAGTGGCTCAGCCTGTGAAATGAGCCTGTGATTGGTTCTTCTAATTGTCTAGTATTTTATTATCTCAAAGAATTAGTCCCTTTGAAAACATTGGTCTGTACTTTGGTGCTGCGGTTTTGTTCTTCTGGCATTGAGGGTATAGTGATTAGAAAACAAAGTGTATCTTACATGTTTGAGGTGGTTGTTTTTGAGAGGGTGTGTATAATGTAGATTTTCTTTGTTAATAAAATTTTCATAATCTCTGAAAATGCTGTGTTTGAATGTGTTTTAAAGTGATGGTACGTTGCACATGAACTAGTCTACATAAAATCTCTCAACTTAGTGTTTACATGAAAAATCTGGGTTTAAAAGAGTAGACAAGCACCAATATGAATTTTGACTCCAGTGTTCTTTTGGTACACTACATCCACTGTCAAAGTCGAGGTTGTAAATTCTCTCCAGGCAAAGGGAGTTGAAAAAAAATTTTTGCAAAAGATACTTGGAATGCTGATCTTCATTTATACATATAAATGTTAAGTAGCATGCGCGCTCAGTTGTGTCCAACTCTTCCGACCCCATGAACTATAGCCTGTCAGGCTCCTCTAACTATGGGATTTTCCAGCAAGAATACTGCAGTGGGTTGCCTTTTCTTCCTCCAGAGGATCTTCCTGACCCAGGGATCGAACCCACATCTCCTGCTGCTTCTGCATTGGCAGGCAGATTCTTTACCACTGAGTCATGTAGGAAGCTCCAAGTTTGGCCTAAAAGAATGGGATACATGTCGAGTATTATATGCTCAATCATACTCAACACTGAATTATACATAAAAACAGACAGCCTATTCCATTTCAAACCTGAAAACAAGGGTTCCTTCTTACCAACTCAGAGGCAATTTGAATAGTTGATTAAACTGTAAAATGCTAGTTCAGCTTGTAGAATGCCAGAGGAAAGGGGTAACAGTTAGGACACACGCTCTGAGCTGGACTTACTATCCTTAGTCCTAAGACTGCAAGTCCTAGGGTTAGGAATCTGACTGTCACTTTCTGGCTGTGTGACTTTGGACAAACGGTTTAGTTTTGTTTCTTCACCTATAAAGTGGAGAAAAACAATAACTGCCTCACAGAGTCATGGGAAAGGTTAGATGAAATAGCACTTTGCAAAGTGGCTCATAGAAGGGGCTTGGTTAATATTTGGTTTCCTCCTTCCTTGCATGCATGCATGCTAAGTCATTTCAGTCATATCCAACTCTTTGCAACCCCATCGATTGCACCATCCCAGGTGGCACTAGTGGTAAAGAACCTGCCTGATAATGAGGAGATGTAAGAGATG